TTAGACTTTTAATGTTACTTAGGTTCCTAATTCTCCTTTAATCTGAGTTAAGATGAGGCGCATAAATAAATTTACCACTCTGGGTCTAGGAGCTTTTGAAMATCCCACCCACCAACACACAGTCCACAGTTTTGTATATGACTTGATTTATTYTCAAGGAAATAAATGTGACCACATTGCCTGCCCCTCTCTTTCTCTGTCAGTCAGTTTCTGACCTGTCTCGCTCTCTCAAAACTTTTGAACCCAAGAGYTAATGTTGACTACGGACAGAAATGCAAGGGCCCAAAGGTATTAAGTCCTTAAAAACTATGATGCCTGGAGAAAGGCGATCTGCAGCACGAGTTCCACTGTCCTCACTTCTCTCCTGCCTGCACAGGCTCACGGGTCAGCCCATGTGTTGGTCTCAGCCAGCACAGCACCACTGTCCCTGTCAGGCAGAGGATCTTCYCTCGGCTCCAAGAACAGCCCACACWGAGAAGGCAGCAGGACTKGAAACATTGGCCTGCTGGAAACTAGGCCAGGTTGATTTCATCATCTAAAACCCATCACTCGCTAACTCACAATACCCAACAATGAACAGTCACTTCTCATCACAGCTTCCGGAAAAGCRCTCTTGAAAACCACACATTTCCTCTGAAATGATATCAACAGGATATTTAAAAGTAGTTGTTCTCTGGGCCTCCAAACTCTTCTGTCTTGCAAAGGGCAAAAAGTTTTGGCATGTCCCAGTGACAGCAGCTGTACTGAAGATCTGCATTAGTGCCTACCCTGTAGAAAGTTCTCTGACATGCCACCAGCTGAAGATGCCTTATAATCCAGCCTTAGTTCACACTGGCTAGTATTTCTAATCCCCTAGGTTCACCACACCTTGATCCCAGGTGATCAGCAAAGAGGATGGGTACCATTTCAGGAAGAATGGAAATCTATCCACAGGCTGTGTCTCTAACTTGACTCCTCACACTTGGGCTCTTTTGTGAATAAAATATTGATGCCCAGGCCTGTGAAGCTTTATGCCATCAAGGCAGTGAGCAATGCTTTTACATGCTAATAAAAATACATTAGGAAATTCAGTAGAGATGATTGGCCGGCAGCTGGAAACAGAAAAGCTGGTGTTAAATGAAATTGTCAGTGTCTCATATTAAAGTTTCCTGTGTGTTCAGACAATACGAATTGGAGGCAGCACAGACCGGTTTTTAATCCAGTATGTGAAAGGAAATTTATGAGAGCAGAGTAGGAGGAAGAGATGAGAGTTAAGGAGCCTACACAAGTTTTTGCTCTCCTTATGTATCATGTGATGCATATTCTCATAGCCATGGGACAGGGCTGGGTCTACTGAGTCCTTATTGCTTTCATAACATGCTCAGACTTTGGGGGAATGTCCATAAACCTGGCAGCAAATAAGCATCACWTCTGCAGAAGTTTGGTGCAGATGATTCATAGTGTTGCTGCACTAAGGCAGGAGGATCAAAGTCTTCATCAYTCAGTCAGTCCTTGAGTGACCCTGCCAGTTCCTGACCTTGAATGCTTTTCATTATCTTGTCACATACCAAGGATTGCAGTTCTTAAAGAGCAGGGTAAACTAGGTTTAATTAAAGTAGAAGCTTGGGCTGTGCTTATGTTAAACTTCTTAAAAAATTACTTTTACACCAAGATGGTTTTGCAAATAGTCTGTTGTGCTGCAAAATGAAAGACAARTTCTCTGCCATGTACCTGCCATCAACTGTCTGCTGAGATTGCTGAATTATTTTACAAAGTAAGACTTTCAAAGGCTATTACTAAGTCACTGAGTCACCAACCCACCTTGCTACATGGTATGTTATAAGCTTTCAGTCCAGTACAAAAGAAAAAGGTTTGACATAGTTTCAGGTAATCCTATCAGCACCAGTGAGTAGACAAACAGGAAGGATGGATCATGGAGAAATTCAGAAAAAAATGGGAAAGTATTCACTSTAACCAGACCTGCTACACTTGAGGATTTCAGTGAAAGGCTGACATCTTCAGCACTACTGTGCTGAGGCATTCCTACTMTATGGATTCAGAGAAAAGTGACAGCCATTTACACTCCTTTTTCTGTACAAAATGGTTGTCCATTAGACAGTCATGAGCTCTCAATTCAATTTTGCTTAACTTGAAATATTTCTTTCCTCAACAATAATATTCCAATTCCAAAGTACTTTACATGAACAGATTCTTATGATAAGCTTGGAGTCCTACTGATGTGTCTGCTCTGGATTTCACTGGACACTTGCATTTGTTGTACAGGAGTTTGCTTGTACAGGACTGTTGGGGGAAGGGGGAGGGGTGTTGGATTTTTTTCGTACCTGTACATAATAAATATCAGAGTGATAGATTTTTTTTTCATGTGCATGCAATATCATTTCTCTCTAGTTAATAAATGTCATTGTAATTCCTATCAAAGGCCTATTCATTCTGGAATATGTGATAATCTTGAAGAATGAAAACTTGTGTTCTATTGATAGAATAGGGTTTACTCTGTTGGTAGAATAGGATTATTTTGTTTTAGGTGGTATGCACTTCTTTGACTAGATAGGCAAAAGGAAAAAGCAAGCCCTTTGACACCAGAAATCAACTCTCCCAATAATCATTTTGACTTCCTGACTCAGAAATCTTCATTTTCATGTTTTAAATGTGTGAATTCTTAGCAAAAAAAAAATTCAGACATGAAAATTAAGCATTCCATTACGACTTTTTCTGCACAAGTTTAAAYGAGTAACTAGAACTTAATTTTTAGAGATTCACACAATCATCAGTGGCTGAAATGAAGTGTTCAGAATTTATGCAAGTTAAACCCTTTATCTTGATTCTAATGATACGTGTCTACTAATGTTAACTTTAGTGTGCATGAAAGACAAGGTCCTTCTTTTGATCCCKATCATTCACAGAAAACACAGACAACTATTACTRTAGGGTTGAAACTCAAAAACCTTTYACAGTTTTTATAGTGCCTTGTAAAAGAAAGGAGTGTAAGTGCATGTGTATGTTACAATCACTCTAAAATAGTTGTTTCCACAGCTCTTGAGCACTTGTCGAAGACCTGTTAAAGCATTACATGGGTTTTACACAGATGTAAATATTCTCCTGCAGGATGGCAAATTCCAGCTATCTGTTAAAAGTCTGTTTGTCACAGGAGTATGCCAAAAGGAAACATCAAAGAGCTGTTGCCACAATTTCAAGTCCTTTTTATAAGAGTAATCATCCTGGTCCAAGGACACAAACAAGGCAAAGTTTACAAACAGGCATAATTTATTTACACAGTGCTTTCAGACACTTGAGCTCTTTTCCAGATRTAATTAAACAAAACAAAAACTTTTCTTGCAAGCTTCATCTTACATCAGGTGTTAATTGCTCTGGTGAAGGGTCAGGTAAACAACAATTTGGCTCATATGAAGGAAGCCTTTCTTCATTGTCAGAGAAAGGAGCTCTCATTAGTCTTACAAATACAGTCTCAGYCGCACAATTTTTAATAAAACTCTCAAATTTGCAGATATTTTTGTAACTCAGTCCTGAGGGAAATCACTAAAACTGCTAGTGTAACTAACTTTGTTCAAATATGAAGACAAAATCACAATGCAAATTTGGTAGAAAAGCTAGTTAGAAGCTATGWGTTGTTCAGCTGAGTGGTCTAATGAAAAGTATCTGTATTATCTCGCCCTTTTTGTGTTCATAGACGAAGCACTAAGTTGGAAGAATTCTGAGWTGGYRAAAGTAARTGCTCAAAAAKTATGAAGAGGTGTTYAAAATCACTATATGAACTTWCTGTRATATCCCTTTGTTTGTCCTACCACCCATAGTTGGGTTGACACATTKGCATGAAAATCTGCCTCATGGAAGCTCTGTCCAGAAACAAYAGGGATGTTTTTTTAAACCTGTTGTGTCCCCTCCACATTCTGTTCTCACTGTTTCTGTATTTCAGGTTGCTTTTCCTTGTTGACCTAGGTTAAGTTCACACCTCCTTGCCCACATGTCCACATAGATATACTCTTGACCACACACCATCCTGTTTCCAAATTTTTATCCTTTCCTTCAATATTTTCTCTATGCAAGCTTGTATTCCCTATTCAGTCCCTCAAGTTTCTGCTTYATTATCCTCTTTTAGCAAAAAAATCCCACCCTTCCCACTCTTTGCCTAYCTGCACATAGCTCGGCAAATTTTTTTTTACATTTGTAAAGCTGAGCAAGAAAGCTGTAGATGCAGGTAGTAGGTAGTGAGTAGTGTATAAAAGTCCGAGACATGGTTAAATATGACCAAATGCTGATCAAAAAGAGAGTATCAACTGTAGAAAGCCAGAAAAAGGGAAGGTAGTCTGGAACAAAGTTTTATAAACCTTTTACTAGGCCTAAGTATGCCTTATTAATTGTGTGTTAAATGAAATGCTTTTAGCCTAAGTAGGCCAGAGAGATCTCAAAGGAAACCTAATCCGAGGAAAAGGTTTTACCAAAAATACTAATAACAACAAGGAACTCTTTACCTTTCATAATCGAAATGGGCAGTAAAGTTGGATTAAGGTTGAATTGAATTTCACCACCCTATCTCCAGGCAGAGTGAGTGTATTTATGTTACTGCAAATCCATATTAAGGATGAAGTGCTCCAAGGCAGTTTTGCACCAGCTGCAATCTCCACTTTCACATCAATTCCCAGCTGCAATGAAGCGAGAGCTTTTTTCGGTTTAATAGCTAGAGATGCCGAAAAGGTAGGACACCACCCTCAGMGCGTCCCAAGGCTCCGGGATGATCCCTCCTCCTGCGATGGGAGCAGCGGGGGTCGGGTACAGCTCCAGAGCGAGCAGGGGCTGTAAGCCGAAAACAGGAGACGGACTTCAAGCGCAGAATTCTAAAAACCSATCAAATCCTCAAAAGTGAAAGCGCAGCCGCCAAAGAGGAGGAGCCGCCGCCGTGCCACCCGAGGCCGCGGCACACCTGCCTCCGCCCCYTGTCCCGGGCCGGGCGGGTGCTCAGGGGTTAAACCCGGCGGGGGCGGGGGCAGCCSGGCAATGGGAGCGGGCAGGCGGCGGGGCTGAGCTCGGCCGTGCTTGGGGATGTCGCAGGCTCCGCCGGGCGCGGGGCAGCTCAATGCCCTGCCCGACCACTCTCCGCTGGTGCGCGGCGCCGTGTCCGAGCTGCGGCGGCGGGCGGAGGCAGAGCCCGGACAGCGCTGGCCGCAGCCCCTCTCCGATGCCTTCCTGGTGCGGTTCCTGCGCGCCCGAGACTTCCAYCTGGAGCTGGCCTGGAGGGTGAGCAGGGGCGGCGGTGGCGGGTCCCGGTGCCCGCGGAGCCCCGGGGCTCGGACTGTCTCTGCGGTGCGGTGCGGTGCAGGGTGGGTGAGTGCCCTGCGCTGCTGCGGGCGGCCGAGGCCGATTCGGGAGTTTCGGGGTGTAACTCATTGCTTGTCACGCGTGTCCTCAGCGTGGCACAGAATCAATGTGCCGTGTCGTGGCTGGCTCCGTGCGGTATSGATGTGGCAACGTAAAGGCTGCGCTGAGTGCGGTACAGTCACTCGCCTGTACAGTAAGTGTGCTAAGGTCACGGSTCCCATTGGGAAACAGTATCCTTARAGGACACCCTTGTCATGATTGTCAGACTCAGGTTACTAGTAGCCGCGCTAGTTTCACTACAAACTTACAATTACTCTAAAACTGTGAGTAAAAACTTCTTTTTGCTTGGAGTTAACTGCACGCCTTGCAGGCTTTGGTACATCCTGGTTCTTTCCTGGCTCTTCATGCTCCTTTTTGCCATAGAGCATGCATATTTTTCATATCCAAAGGCACAGATTGTTATCAGTTTGTTTTTGGTTTTTTCTTAGGGTTTTTTTGTTTTTGTTTTTGTTTTTGGTTTTTTTTAAGAAACGTTGATAACCATTAAACCTTCGGAACAGAAAGTCTTTCCAAATCCTCCCAGGGCAAAGGCATTGATTCACATGTGCCAACTCAAAGCTGTATTTCCCTGGAATTTTATGTTGATTGCACAGCATTGCCCAACAAACCTCACCTATTAGTTTCTGACTTCTCTGGAYTGTAGATTTTCCAAGTTTAGTCACCACAAGACAAGATTGTTTGCATACAGATGTATTGCAGGATCTGGGTAGCTAAAAGAAGARTTTGAGAAATTGAATTAAGCCCTTAATCATAAATAGCTTTAATAGTTGTATTTTTGATTTTTCATTTCACTTATGAGATTTGCATCATGGTTTTAAACGTTTYCTCCTCAGCAGAAGAACTAAGGAGGCAAATCAGATTCCTTTGGGTTTTATGTATCTTACTTTTACCTGAAGTTCATGAGATTGTGCACAAACAATTGTAGACTAACAATTGTCTTTCCCAGCAAAAGCCATTTTATTTTCCTGTGTTCCTTGGTTCCAAAATGTGAAGCTTAATGAGACAATACAGACTGCTGAATATGCACTCCTAATTGTGTTGCAATTGGTTGTTACTGTTAATCCTGTAGACAGGACGGTGACACTTCTGAATTTGGCCCATACATTTCTGCACTTCGATTGGATTATTGTGAGGTGTGTTGTAGGTAGGAATGTTCTTTGAAGGTGTGGAATCTATGTTAGGTTTAGAGATGGAGTCTGTGATGGAGCAAATTTCCCATGCTCCTCTTGAGAATCAGCCCTCAAGACTGGAGACYGGCTTTGAAAAAGTTAAATCTCTTTAAAAAGCTCTTTAGATATTCTGGGTCTCCACAGGCTGCTAAGTTTCTGAATTTCAAACCTTCCTTTGCATTAAGATATTCTGATATTCAGAACCAATCTGTGTTTAATATTTCTGTCCAGACCATTTTCTAGAATCCTTCTTCTAGAGTAG